AATGAGTGATTTTTTCCCCATTATTTATCCTTAAGTCTCACAAGTTCGTAAAGCCTTACAGTTTGTCTAAGGTACTCGTATTCATTGTTGATCTGCCTCAAGTAATATTTGGCCGCACTAGATAGAATATAAATAATCTGAAGTTGTACGTGTAGCTAGAATTACAGGAATGACTCTGATATAGTTCAAAGGTCATATAGTTTATATAGACTTACAGAAACTGTTGCTTATCAACCAAATGTATGCCAGATTACTTAAAGATCTGTTCAAAATAATCTCAACCATTGCATTACTCTACGTTTAACCTCTTTTGTAATTTACATTTACCACAAAATCAAGAGTGACACAATCAGATCTCAAAATTTACATTCCTTTTACCACAAAATCAAGAGTGACGCGAAAAGATCCAAAAATTTACATTTCATCAAAGAGAAACACCCAGAAAATATCATTTACCCTATACTATTCAATGGTGAAAAGCAAACGTGTTTTGAAAATATATTAAAGTTGGTTGTTTTAAACTTTTGTGCAGATAATCGTTTTTAATATATGAAGTTTTAACCTCAATATCTATACCTAAAAATCTTAAAATATGTGCTAGTGTGTATGATATGATAGTCTTTCATATGACGAAGGTGTATGAACGAATAATTCACTGCAACATGCTTATGATGTTCCTTTTTCACATATAGAAAAGCAAAAACTGTTGGCCATATTTAGACTCATTTACACAGGGACAACAAATGATACTTTAACATTTAAGTGTAGAAATTAAATATTTGAACGAACTTGGGGATCAAATACAAACTGAAGAGACACTTGTGAAAAACAGTGAGGATTTGCTTAGATTTTCGTTTCAATTGAAAGCAATTGACCTCAGTGAACAACAGATCTTTGTTGTTATATATATATATATATACATACTCTGTAATAGAACATCCCTCAATGTGGCATAGCAGTATGTCTGCGGACATATACTGCTAGAAACCAATAACCTTGGTGAGCAGAGCACAGATAGCCCTTTTTGTAGCTTTAAGCTTAATAACAAACTACAACAACAATGTGGAGATTATTCTAAAGACTGTGAAGGTAAGCTTACTACTTCTGATATTAGAACTTTACTTATTAAAAAATACTCTCTGTTTAATTAACCTTTGAAACCAACTCCAAACATTAATTGGTTGAATAATCAACTTTATCTTAAGGACAAAGTGCAGTATCCCAATAACCAAAATACCAGGTTGTATTCAAATGTTGTATCTGTGTTTAAGATACCTTTGCCATTATTTTACAGTTTTCGGCCCTGCATGGCCAGGTGGTTAGTGTGCTCGACTCACAATCAGGGTTGCAGGTTCGAATCCCCGTCACACCAAACATGACTAGCTGCCTTCCCTCTAGTCTTACACTTACTAAATTAGGAACGGCTAGTGCAGATAGCCCTCGTGTAGCTTTGCGCGAAGTTCAAAACAAACAAACAAACAAAACAAACTTTACAGTTTTTGTTATTTATGTTTTGCAGTAACGTTGCTCTTAATATATTAATAAAGGCTTGAAAAAACATTTTGTTCTTGTTAATTTGTTTCTAATTATGTTACTGTACAACTGCATATTGTTGTGTGTAAAATGTTATAGCCATCGTGTTGTATCATTTGTCTTTATTTTACAGTCGTTATTTTATACTAAAATATGAAATTCCACGTGGCAATTCTGAGTATTTAACTTATAGTTCTAGATTATACTTGTAGGGACTGCATCTTGTTTAAAACCTACCAGAAATTGCAACCATGTTACCTAACAACATAAGAATTAGTATCATGAGTATATTCGTTAAATTAGTTATTTTTCTCTTTTAAATATAATAGTTTATTTATTTCTTACTAGATAGTTCAGGCTTAATTTAATTATGTTATCATTTCATTATCTCAATCATTTATTGTCTGATTTTGAAAAAGTTTGAGAATTGTTTTGACCCAGTCAAAAATTATACCTGTCAATGTTTGACACCAAAGTGTGAAACAGTTTTGTTTATGATAATAAAATCTATTTGTACTTACTGTTCTTTATACATCATTTTTTATCTCAATGTTAGGCTGGACTAAGTGTTTGCAGAAGCGTCAATTAAAGCTTATCCATTAATAAACTTAATAAAATATTTAAGGATACTTAAGCTTTATCATCAAGAACATATTTATTTCAAGATATTAACTCAGTCAATATTCAAGGTTTTATCCAGAATTGATTTATAATTAGTTATTTCTGCTTTTGTTTTTCACTCAGTTGGTGTCCATTGCATTATATGTTCTGATAAATGTTCGTATTCTGTTTTCAATAATAGAATTTTAAAATATATAGCTTAAGCATCTCAGTTTTTTAATAAAATAGAATTGTGTGTTTTGTTGTTTTTTAGCTAAGTTTTATCAAACTTTTTCAGAGGTGTAGAGTTCATATGTACTGTTTTTTCTCAGTCTTGTTGCTGTCAAAATTATAGCAAACTTTATAATATTCAAACACAGTTATTTACTTTATTCTTTGTTTGCTTGTTCACCAGAATAACACTTTATGGACACAATTGGTTAAAAATGGATTGATCAAAGACCACTATAGTCCAGGCATAGATGTCCCTGGCTTTTAATTGTTGAGCAGAGGGAACAACAACTAGTAGTGGTTATTTTTAACTGAACAGTGGGATTGACTATCACTCTTATAATGCTTCCACAGCTGAAAGTATAAAGTATGTTTGGTAGCACCATGTCTTGAAACTGAGACCCATTGATCCCATTTTCAAGCCCATTTTATTAAATGAATTATATTCAGAAAAAATTCTGTTTGTTTTTAGGTTTGTTTCAACATGTAATATAAAGTTTCATGTTATGAATTTTTAAGGTATATTCAAATTAGAGAACAATAAAACTATCATTTGGTCCATCTCTATCCATGTAAATTACATCATCAGTTTTACAGTTCTGTGTAAGATTTAAAAAGGTCAACAACTGTCACAGCCAGTCTGTTGGCATCTGTTTGTATTAATTCAAGACTGCACAATGGGTTATTTGTCTCATGTCTAACCCCTTGGATGAACACCGAGTTCTAGAGTTACAAGCCCTCAAGTTTACTTCTTATATAGCCACCAGGAGACCAATTGAAATCAAGTTGCTATAAGGAAAGAACTTGTGGATGTACGGAGAATGTTTATTTAAAACAGTTATGGTGATATGAGTATCTGAGATACTTGAGCTCATCTACTCATACTAAAATCCACAGTGAATAATATGCTGAATACATAAAACACCTCTGGACATGCTGATGTTGAAAATTGTCTGGCTGTGCATCATTAATTATTTATTTTCCTCGGGCCATAGTAACTTTAAATTGTGTTTGAGACGAAATGTACATCTGGCATTAAGTTCACAACTTACGACTTTAATGAGAAATCGGGACTACATATTTAACATGTTCAAGGGGGTCTAATGATTGGCTGAAGTCCACAACAACTCCTAAGAGTCGTGAATGCAAGACCTTGGGTTTCGTGGTAATGTGAACAATAAACTTACTGAGAAGAACAATGACAAATTTTCAAGTGAACTGATGAAACTTGCTAATCACCATTTGCTGTGGATAGGCAAATTGAATGTGGATTTGATGGCAACCTGGACAGCACTTCGGATATGACTATGTTGCCCCAACCATGAAGTATAATAAGACAGTACCAAGGAGTGTGTCTCTTTTAGCTGGATTTGCTTTGATAGGTTAATAATAGTTAAGGTAGCTTTGAAAGCACTGTCGTATTATTGCACTCTGGACAATGCTGCACAACCTGCATTGATGGAATACTATGGGAAACACCTTATTTTGTTAGCATTATGAAATGTCATGATATACTCTTCCCCTTATATAACAGTGGTTTGTGAGAAATTACATCCAAAATCTGTTTTAACCTGAAACTGAATGAACCACTGTGGAACATTTTGAGACCTGACAAATTAAATGAAATAATCGTAAGTATCGATATACTTGTAGCTGTTTTATAAGAGGAGTGGCAGTCTCTTGAAACACATAAGTTCAACAATTAATAACTACAATGTTTATGCTGCAATATATCAAAGATAGGCTCGCACTCTATTAAATATCTATTATTTGTGTTCAATTGCTATAAAGATGCTCTCTGCTCCTTGAGCCCATGGGCCCATCATACGAGTGATGGTAAAATTTCAATGCTACTACTTGGTCAGATAAGAATAGTCCAAGAAATGGCAGTGGGTGCTGTTGAGGAGCTGCCATCCTTCTATTCTATTATCAGCAGAGAAAAAGACTTGTGGGACTTATATTTTATGTAAAGATGGTTAATGCCATGTATATATATATGACTTATGTTGTTATTGATTCCAGAGTTTCTCGAACTAAAATAAATTAAGATAGAATTTTCTTAAAGTAATTATATTTTGATTTTTCTTGTATCATTTATTGTCATATTATTTTAGTTTGCCTAGAACTTTGTAAATGATAATTATCTTTGGCATTTCTTATGGTAATTGTTTTGTTTTCCATTTATCTATATTGACCTTGTTTTGTTACCTTTTCACTACACTTTTCTTATAAATGTGTATACAGGGTGTCTTAAAAATTTGGAACAAAAGGCATTTCAATGAATTTCACAGAATGTGTTCCACATACTGTCTTAGTAATTCAAAACAAGTATGGATTAACAGCAGAATTAATTTAACCTTCTCATGCTTTGACAATGACATAATCAGTCACATATCTGAAATTGAGAAAAGCTGAAACTCACCTATGATTCCAGACTTCGTGGACACCATGTATGTTTTATTCAGTGTAATAATTTGTATCTAAATACATAATTACTTTTATAGTTTTAATCCATGTATTTATTGAAATTACTTATTATAATATTATCTTGATTAATAAAAGCTAAAACAAACACTAGGCAGATTTTGCATCTATTTCCCTAAATTTGTATTAAATTCATTATTCTGGCATTTCAGGGAAGGTGTAGATACAATTAACATTGTCTACTCAACACCAGAAAAAAGATCTTCATGGGAAACTGCATTCAATGAAGCAAAACAAAAGCTAGGTGAGGATAACTAGTTGTTATTATATGAATAAATGTAAGCAAACCAGGAGTTTGTTTTTGCATTTGGAAGTCATTAACCCATTGATTTTGTTTTTGCACAAATCATAGTGTAAAATATAAAAAGAGAAAGAACTGGGACACAAAGTTCGAAGAAAGTGCAGTCTATGTAATCCATATGTTATTGACTGTGAATGTACATATGTATATATATATGATTATAAATAAAGCATGATTTGGGGTTAATTTTAACGTATTAATGAAAAAATTAGCAACATAGTATGCAAAGTTGTGCAAAGCCAATGGAAACATATCAGTAAAATTGTAATGATTTTATGTTGTTTTTCTATCATATTACTGTTTATATTTAAATCCTGTATGTAGTCTTTGACTTACAAGCAACAGAAATTTCAGGGAAATCTACTTTATACAAAAACATTCATTTCTAAAAGTTTGTAATTTCTTAAATCATATTTAGCTGTTCATGGTGTTGTCAAAATAATATGATTTACCAATTATTAAAAACAACTTGTTTACATATTCATCTTAGATTTTTCCTTTCAGCACTTTATACAAATAAAAGGCCTCCACCAGAATTTCTGTACCCACTTCCAATACGAAAGACAAGAGCAGGACTTCAAGTAAGATATGACTGTTTATAGTGTTTAAAGTCTTTAATGTGTTTCATATTCTGTTAATCTTAGACTTAGTGTGTATAACTAGCAAAGTTACACAAAATCATAGTTAACTTTGTTAAACGCATATGCCCCCCACCCCCCAGTGGCTCAGTAGTATGTCTGCGGACTTACAATGCTAGAAACCAGGTTTCGATACCCATTGTGTAGCTTTGTGCCTAACTACAAACAAACAAAACTTAACTGCATGTGCATGTACTTGAAATAAACCCTTCAGACTGAAGTATTAGGATTATCTATTAAAAAACTTTTGATTATAATAATTAAGAAAAAATAATTAAATTTATTATATTGCTAAGCAATAATGCAATTTTAAGACAATAAAGTTTTCAGTTTAGTCAGAATATTGTCTAAGTTACCAAAAATATTGTGTTTAATTTGTGGTAAAATCACATCAAAAATAAAAATACAAAAGTTGTCTATGTTCAAAAGGGTAAATAGTTTCCTTATAATGTCATTAGAGAATATGCAACAAATATAAGAGATAAATTAAATATAAAAGCAAATTGTATCTTGTTGCTAAAAAATGTTGGTTTGAAAACTGGAATTTTAAAGTAACAACAGAGGAAGGTACAGTTGAAACAGGATTTTTTTTCAGCTTCATTTCTTCTTGTCTTCTGAGATTTATCAGTTCATGAGATGGACAAGGATATTAATAGAAATATGGTTTTCCTGTGGTTACTAATTAAGTTTAAATGTAGGTATGTAGCTGATACCATGTGTAATCTAGCTCAGCAATTGTAGTAGTACTTTGAACACATATTTTAAAATCAGAGAATATTACCTCATGTACTGGTTTACTGGAAGTTGGAAAATATTCACTCCATATGAGAACTATTGTTTACTAAGGAACATGAATATGAGATAACCAGGAGTTCAAACTCTTCTACTGAGTACTTGATTGCAGTAAAAAGAGTAAATAAGTTGCTGAATTTACTAACAAATATATTGAACTATTGAAAAAGGTTATTATTTCTTTTTATGAGGTTCTTGTAAGACCACATTTAAATAAGTGTAACCAAAATGACAGCTGACTTGACCAGCTTAGAATATTTAAAAATAAAAAACACTATAGATAGTATGGTTCAAGTTATGCAACAGATAAAGATTTTGAAAAGGTTTTATGTGAAAGTTTTGTTTCTCTGTTAACATTTCTAACCAATAAGGTGAAATAGACCTCTGAAAATCCTATGCAAGTTTTTTTTCTCTAGTTCTTGTTTTTTAAAAGTATGAGTTTCTACATGTGATTTCAACTCTTTGAAAATATTCTCAGAGAACTTTGTAACATAAGTTATAATTACTTTTTTAAGTACACTAAGCTGATGGGTATAGGTAAAGTGATGGCTCTGAATTACTCATTCTGTCTTTTGTTCACTCTTTGGTTCTGATATTTTCAAAACAAAATAGTTGGTAAATGTCATTCACATTTTAGGAAGTAAAATTCCCCCCTTGGTTCTTGGTATAAAATATTTTTCTTTTGCATCTGTTTTAGAGGTTTTGGCAGGAAATAGGTTTGTCTGTTTTTCAGCAGAGATGTAAAAACCCAGGGCTATACATTTTATTCACATTTTAAGGCATTTGTTAGGAAATCTTAAATATTGATATTGTTTAGTTATGTACATTTAAGTGAACCATATTAATGCAGTCAATTAACAAATATAAATGTGTGACTTCACAGAATGAGATCAAAATTTTGTTTTAGTAGTTGTTTAGGGTCATTAATTTCAGATTGGACTAAAATATTCATAGGTATTAGTTAAAAATTCTTAATTTATTGTCTGAATAAATTGTTTGGTAATGATTTATTGGCCTGAATGAGATCTAAAAACCAATTAGTGAAAATTAATGTGTATATTAAAGTTTTTTTGTTACTTTTGTCATTTATTTATGTCTTTCTTTTTTCAGTTTACATGTGCAGCACCAACATTAAGTTTAAATCAGCTTGGCCTGAAATATATTTGGGTATGTAATAGTGATGGATACGTTGGTCAAGTTTGTATACTAAGCCTACATCCAGAACCAACAGTGACTTCTTGCAATGGTGTGTGCAATACTAGAATCATATGTATGGCTGCAATTCCTGCTGCTAATTCTGTGTAAGTATTGAAAAGTATTTCTTACTGGTTAATTTGCAATATTGTTCAGGCAGATGTGAGAATATTGGTACACCTCTTTTTGTACATCTGTTAACTTGAAAATATTTATTTTAATGATTTTTTTAGTTATTTTCATTACACTAATATTGTATAAGACAAAAAATGTCTTTGATGAAGCTGCTGTTGTAAATAGCCTGCATAGATATTCATCTGCTCAACAACTAAGGTTACTGAATGTACAAAACATTAACAGCCCTCTGAAAGACAATGATTTGGTACATATATATTATATGAGTGATTTCAAAGATTCAAATTCTGCTTGTTTTTGATTTTCACTTCCACTAGGTATTTCACATAAAATAGTCTGCCACTCTTATAATTTATAAATCAGTTATAAAGTTAATCTTGGAATATTCCACCAAATAATAATTGGAAAATTCAGCATTTTAAAGAGCATTTGACATAAATTATTATGGTTTAATAAGTTTCTTTTTGGCACACAAACATACAATACTGTGAAAAATAAATCATGCTGAACTTGTGACTCAATATTGCAATTTTAAATTAGCTTGCTAAGTAATGATGAGAGATCATACTTCACCAATGTTTCTGTTTGGGAAAATCAAAATATGGTAATTATAGGACAACATGTAACTTTTATTATTTTTGATAGTTTGTCAAAATGTTAACTGAGCTACCATCCTCTTCTCAAAAACAAAATGAATGAGACGTTTCTGTTGCTTTGGTATGCTAAAACTTTGCATGTATTTCAGGTTAAAAGTATATGAAATAATATATTCGTAAACCAAACACTTTAAGTAAATTTTGTATGAAGTTTAATACTCATTCCTGTTTACTTTCCTGTCTTTAAGATAATTTTTATTTGATTTTAAATCTGAAAATAAAACATTGTAAAGGAAGCTAATAGTGTTAACTTTTTACAATTAGCACATAAGGCACAAATTAATATTTAGGAATTTCCATCATAATAGAAGCTTATCAGTAGAAGAGTTAAATTTTTCTTAGTTATGGAAGTTTGATATATATATATATATATCAGCATGCTGTTGTATATTTTAACTGTATTCAGATGCTTTGTTTTACTTAAAGAGTGCAACATGTTTTAGAATATTTAATCTAGTTGCAATAGTTCCTAATATATCACTTTTTCAGAATGTAGTAAATGAGTTTTCCTCATATTTATTTTTTGTCTCACTCAGGACAAATAGGAGACGTTCTTTTCTACCTGAAAGCAGTCTTACTGTCAACAGTGATATCCAGGATATTGATAGTGATGCTGACCAAAGCAGTAGTGAAAAGTATTTTCGGTTTGATAGGTAAACATCTAGCTGTTCAGTAGTGTGATCTATAAATGTATTCAATATTTAATATATTCTTTGCCCCCCAGTGACACAGTGGTATGTCTATGGACTTACAACTCTAAAATCTGGGTTTCAATACCCGTGGTAGGCAGAGCACAGATAGCCCATTGTGTAGATTTGTGCTTAACCTCAAATAAACAAGCAAGCAATATATTCTTAATTTATGACATATTATTTTAACAGCTCCCTCAGGAGTTAAGGGGTGTCTTTACACTTCAATTTGTTGAATATTAAAAGTAAGTTCAATCCAGAAACTCCCAAAGAGGGTGGTTTTGGATTTATCTTTTCAAGACATGTTTTCATTTTTTAATTGAAAAATCTTTAAGTGAAATACAGCATCTCAAGTCTCCATACTAGCTAGTAATAATGTCTACCTATTGGGAGTAAATTCAGAATATATCAATAAAGCCACACTTTCAGCATCATTAATTAAGCAATTGCCAACCTTTTATGCTTCTGCTATCACGTTTTTATGCTTAGCTTTCAACTGATATGCAAACAATTTCACCTATGATTCGGTAGGGAATGTAGAAGCATCACGATTGTCAGCTGTAGGATGAGCAGACAGGAACACTTTGAAAGCAGCTACAGGCATAATATTGTACTTGCCTTACTGCATAATATGTACCAAGATGGTGGTTCTAAGCAGTTCCTTAATACCCCTGCGTGTTATTTGGAGACTTCCATGCTTCTCGAGCTTGGCCATTAAGCTCGTGATGAGTTGATGGATTTCAGTCACCTTACCACTTCAAATCACGTTTCGCAGCCCCAATGCTAAAAGAGTATGGGAACTTTAGCCAACTTAGAAATTTCTATTTAGCCAATTATAATGTCCAAAAAATTTCAGTTCAAATTAAGAAAAACCAGATTGGGTGGTTTATTTTTTTTTTCAACAAAATTTTCTCACACTGGCTCATGAGGTGCCTGTTAAAATTTGGTTACATTATGTAAATTTAGATATTTACTTTTGAAAAAAATTATGCAGACCTTAAAATATCCAGTAGAAATGCAGAAGAATGAATTCAATCTAAAATATCAATTTTATATCAAGTCTATCAAAATGTTACAGTGAGTGAGTGACATTGATCTTTTGCTATTCTAGTGATTCCAGTACAGATGATGATGATGAAGAATCTCAAGGTATGTACAACACAAAACAATGTTTTAGTAAAACCTTAAGAATAATAATTACTTTTAAATCACAGGTGTACCCTTAATATTATATTTTGCTTTTACAGTATAAGTAAACTTCCTTGTTTCTTTACTCAGTTTTTATCTGTGCTATATTTTGTTTTTGTAACTTTGAAGAAAACAATTAACAAGAATAAAATTTTAGTCAATGTTTGACAAATGTCCATTAAGATAGAGATTTTAGGTAAGCATTTTGAGAGGTGAACAAAAGATTTAAAAAATAACTTGAAATGATTAATGTGATAATTATGCAAGGATTATAAAGTTGAGTGACAGAAAAATGCCATATTTATTTACATTAGAAGATATATAAGAGAGTGTTCTACAAATAAATGTTGTTCTTAGTTTAGAAAGAAATCAAAAGTGTTTGTCAGGTTTAATGTATAAGCAGATTCTTTACAGTAGGTGTTCATGACTTGTTGGCAATAAATTTCAACAATAAACAAATAGCACACAGTCTATGTTTTAAAATAATATTTTAAAACAAGTCAAATGTATATACAAATGTTTATCACACTGTTGATTATCACAGTTGTATCCAGAGCTTTATATAATTGTTTCTTTTTTTGTCAAATTCCACCCAGGTTGGATTAATTACTTTAGAACACAATTGTCAAAACGAGTTCTTCTTCTTTACTCTGTTATTACAATACAATCTGTAATAATTTCACTCACAATCACACAGTCTAGATCTATCTATTCTTTATCAGACTACATTTTCAAGTATTTATACCATGACAGAGATCTAGAATGTTCCACACACTACTAGATAATATGATGTATTAATATTCAATGAGAAAACTCAGAAGATTCTAGTAATATAACAATCACCAATTCATAACTAGTGAACTACACAACTTATGATTCATAAATAGTTATGTCAACAAACTTGCAATAAACTATTGCTTCTGAAAATAACTAAATTTAACACTCTTGCTGTATAAACTATCTAAATCATTATAATCCTATTAAACTTAAACTGAAACAGTCATGTATATCTAACAGTGTGACATACATGAGTTGTAACTGATGTTTCAGTTTCTTCACTTTCTATATTTCATTGATATATTTACAAGTAACAGTTATGCATTTTTATATATTAGATGATAAGTATGAAAAACATAGCTTTTTTTGCTTTGGCACAGGTTCATATCTATAATTGTTCTCATAAACTTTGACTCTGATTTAAATTTAGTGTCTCTTGTATCATCTAATCTTGTAATTTTTAGAAGATGACTCTTCTACCAAGCAGAGCAGTGAACACTTTTTACCAAGAGAAGATTCCAAAGAAGACTTGGACAATCAGCAACCTACAATGTGGCTTGGTACAGAAGATGGCTGGTGTGTATACATTTTAAATTTCTGATACATCTTTAAATCTTAAAGATCCATTGAAAATCTATGAGCATGTTTTACAAAAGTACAAAAAATTAGCAGTTAAAATGAGACAAAACAATTAAGTTTCATTCGTTTCAGCTAGCATATGTTTGTTTGATATTATGTATTTGACAAAGTGTTGATACTATGTGTTTGAAGGAGTACTGGTTAGATGTGTATGAAGGAGTGTTGATACATTGTGTATGAAGGAGTGCTGATATGTTGTACATGAAGGAGTGTTAATATGTTGTATATGAAGGAGTGTTATTATGATGTGTTTGAAGAAGTGTGCTTTTATCTTGTGAAGATTGGTTTACTTATGAAACGTTTTTGATTTCGGTATGCATTTGCTGTAGGGTTCTTCCTGTCCCATTATTTATACACTGCTTTTCACAGTCCATCATCTATCTCTGTTTATAAAGTAATTTAGTTATTTTAGAATAAAAATAATCAGTTGAAGATGGACATAAAATTATAATACATATGAATGACAATTAATGTTTTGAGAGTTTTAGTATAGTCTCTATTTAGTTTTCATGACAGGAGTGTTGAAGGTTGATTGTTTTAAAAGCATTAGTTATGACAAATTTTGTTACGTAACTCTGTATGAGTCATACATTGTGTATGCATTTGATTGTTGTACTAGGCTTTAGTAACATTCTTGGCATCACATTACTTGAACCTTTTGTATTTTCTCATTACCTTAAGTGAGTATTATTATGTTATATCATCGCTCATGTAGTTTATAGAAAGTTCGAGGCTTCAGTGAACAACATATAAATATAGGCGACCACACGAGCCTATGTTAAGTAGAGAAAAGTCAAGTCAAGTGAGATATAATTAGACAGATCTAGACTGAGTGATTGACAGTTTTAGCCATATCAGGTGATTAATAAAGAAGTTAGAAGTTTAGTCAGTAAACATTAAGTTAGTGAAAGTAAAGTAGAAAACAAATTAAGTAAAAGTAAAAGTTCAGTCACAAAACAGTTAGAAAATGTGAAGTTAGCCAGTGTGTGAGTGGTTAGCCATAATGGGCAGTATTCTAAAGTGAGTTTCACAGTTTAAGAGAGATAAGGAGAATAATTTGTCTTGTCAAAGGGTGTTCTAAAGTAATTGAACCCATCTGTGTGGACTTTGATGAAAAGGAGACAATTATTTAAAGTTTGAAATACAACTTTGATAACCCATGGAGTAACGTATGTAAATCTATCGCAGATAGTACAGTAAATTAAAGTAAAGAAAAACAGTTCTTCTTGTCAATTGGATTCTAAAGTATTTGAATCAGCCTGAATGGACTTTTGACAAAAAAGAGAATTACTTAGAGCTTAGATACAACAGTGATTTCCCAGAGTGTTAAGAATTTTGTACATACATTTAACTTGTTTTGAATATAATATTTTAAAACAAGTGGATTGTGTGCTGTCCATTTATTGTTCGAATTTATTGCCAACATGTCACAGACATCTACAGTAGAAGAATCCCAGCCCACTCATATTTAAAACCCTGACAAACATTCAGTCCCTTAGTGTGGATGGTGGGTGGTAGAGTGCTGCTAACTGGAATTCTCTCTGTTCAGTAGTAGCTATATAACAAAATTATTTTATGCTATGAAATTAATGGTTCCAATTTGAGATTTTTTGTATTTTTGTATGTTTTAATATAATACTGTAAGTTTTATTACTGACTGTAAGATTTGGAAGTGACACTAAATCTTGTAAATGTATCAGAAATTCAATAAATATGCCAAAAAGGTATATGTAAAACCTGATTGCACATTTGGTATTATATATATAATTGTGTTTCATACATCAGAAACTTTCTTACTATTTTATGAAATGTTGAGCATTCTGCCTGAAAGATTTGTGAAAAATTAAATTTAGAAAATACTGGCTCTCTGAAATAGCTAAGCTAACTATTATTTGCAGCATTATGCGTTATCACGTTAATGCATAACATATTTGAACAATGTAATAACTTTAAAAGAACTTTAGATCCTGGGGGAACCTCATCCATTAACATAGCATAACATATAATTCAAGGACAACAATGGATCTGTTGGTTCATCTGGGCCATCCCATCCACTAAATTAAATTTAAAAATTATATGAAATAAAAGACTAGTTCTACTTGTGGGTTAATCACTAATCTTGTTAGCTTAGCTTAACGAGTGTCTGTTAATTTGATCTACCTGTGGTTATACTCTTGGGTTAATTGATAGTTAGATTAATTATTTTGTTTTCTTCAACACATAACATGTATTACATATGTTTATTTCACAACACAATTTTTAACCATTAAATTAATGATTAATTTCATTTAATTTATAATTTATACTTCTTACCCTTAATTTTGTTTGTGTGGGCCTATGGGGGCTGGAGTCCACCCTACCTGCTCCCAGTATTGCTTGCATTCCTCCTGTAATGGCTGAACCTATTTCAGATATCCTAGATTTTGTCAGTTTTCCTCCACCTTATGATGGATTGCATTCTAGGCCTCTACTGCAGAATCTGCTAGTCCTATCTTATTTTATTTTAGACACATTTCACAGTATATTCCCCTTCTCCTTACATTGTTTCAAGATGATCTACAGGCTTTAATTCTTTTTGCTTTAACTTACTATCAGGCAGATTTTTTTCTTGGTTTTATGTCCTTCAATCTCTGTTAATTCTATCCATTTTCTCCCCTACCTAGTTTTACTCTATATTATCCTGTCTACTTTCCTAAAGGTAATGTTTACTTTTCACTTCATTTCCTAGGTGTTCCACCTATATTTAGGGATTTTTGTGGGATACCTCCTCCTTCTTCCCTCCATGTTGGGCATTTGCCATCTTCAGTTCTTTCCCTTTACATGGTTTCCTTCTCTTACTCCACTTCTTTGTCTGTGATTTTTTCCTTCCTCCCTGACTCATAGAACTTGGATTGTGATTCGTTTCATCTTTTATTCCTTGTATCCTTCATCCCATCATCAATTCCTGGTGTCTTCACTCCAATCATGCACCTTCCCTTTTCCCTTGATATTAACCATGTCATCTATTGGAGGTACTTTGTCTGTCCAGCACTGGGACTTCACCTCATACATTCATCTCCCATTCTTTGCACTGGATCACTGTTTCTTCCTTGTCAGGGTACCTTCATTCACCTGTTGCCATCCTTCACTCTTTCATGAGACTGTGACTGGATAAATTACCTTTTAGTATATATACCTCTTATTTTTCAGGGGCATGTCTCTCATTTTCTTTATCGACCCCAATATGTAGCTAGTGTTGCCTGTCCAGGAATACTTAAACTAGTAAAAGTCACACTGTAAGGCCATGATGACTTAACAATTATAATTCCATGGCCACTAAATGCACACTGCTGAGATGGGGTGTTTCACAAGATTGCTTGTAGGTTTATCCTCATGATATATTTGCTTCTTTAATATGCTTGTCCAAGACCATACTCACCCATGGACTACAGGGGTAAAGCAGAAGAGGATAGCTGCCCATTCCTGCTATGCCTTCTATTGAATAAATTGGTATGGTCTGCTTTTCAAAATAGGGTTTTGTGGTCACCCATTACACTGTCTCAGGTGTTGTCATTCCTCTGAATTCTCCCTCACACTTTCTCTTCCTTTTCTTCTAGTGGAATTTGAGAGTTCTTACCACTTTTCAGTTCCAAGCCACTGGGGTGGTGAACCATAGAAGGATCCTCCTGAATGTTTTAATGAAATAAAAATTATATATATACTAAATACACATAAATTATAATAAAACTATTTTGTTGAGAGTAGGGCAGTGGTGTTCTGCTGATGTAGATAATGAGATGTCCTCCAGTATGTAACATTGGAGTGAGCCATCAAAATTGCAGTTTACCCCTTTGATTGGGATTCCTCATCCTACCCACACATTGATGTCGGTTCCCAGTGGCTAGGTGTTGGATTTGAAGCTGAACCAATCAACATAAGTCCTCACACATGTATTACAGATGTCTCTATTCCCTCACTAACTTCTGCTATTGTTACTCCATCCATGTTGTTGGTCATGATGGAGGTACTTGCAGATTACTACGGTTCTTTGCCTTCCGCTATCCCCCGATGTTCTTATTATTCCAAGGGTGTTACTGCACTTGGGGTGGTTCCTGTCATTTTAATTTTTAGTGAGATGGTTTACATTACACAGACATCTTTTTGATGCCAGATGTTGTGTTCCTGAATTGATCAATCAATTTCTCACATTGTTATCATGTGTTTTTTCGGGAGTTGGGGGGTGGGGGGTATGAAATTCCCTCTGGTCTCATGAACTTGAGGTAAAGACTGTAAAATCCTCTTTCCTACCTCCACCAGATGGCTGGGTTTTGGACTGTATTTGACTTGCTGCTAGTATTATCCTCTTTCCTATCCCCACATAGATGTCAGTTTCTGGTTGCATGGATTTGAATTGTAGTCGACTTGCCAGTGGTATGAACCTCTTTCTTGCCCCCACAAAGATGTCAGTTCCTGGTGGCCAGGTTTTTGATTGTAGTTGACTTACCAATGGTATGATCCTCATCTACCCTGGGTGAAGAGTAGACCTGATACATAAGTGGTGCAGTCTCCCACATATGGTCTTTGACTTCGAAGATCTCCTCTTTGGGAGTGTGCTTTGGATGCTTCTCTCTTTCTCTCACACTGGTCCCTCCACCCATTCAATGTGGGATTCTAGCTATTTATGAGTGGAGGTAACATACAGTATTGGAAGTTATAATTTTCCCATACTAAAAAATTTATTTCTGATAGGTACTTACTTTCTCTCATACTTCAGAAATATATTTTCAGTATTGGAAATTTATAACTTTTGGTGTTTTTAAGTTTTTCGTGTTATTTAAAACCTTGTCACTTTCTTTAACATCTGTTTGAATTCTCTTCTAGCATCCACATCTACAACTGTAATGACAATATTCGCATCAAGAAAAATAAACTCATCTTACAACACCCTTTCTCAGTCCAGTGTATTATGTAAGTAATTTAAATATTTGATTCAGATACTTTTATGAAGTCAGTTTGGGTTTTCAGCAAAGTTTCTTTTTTTTTATTTCTTTAGAGATTCCTAATAGATTTTATACAAACATACATCTGACATATCATTGGTTCCATATGTTGGTGTTATAATAGTAAAACTAGGTTGATTTTGACTTAGATATAGTATTAGGATTATTAATTTGCAAAATATAAATCCTGTATTAAAACTTATTCTTCAGTTGATCCTTTGTATCATTAAACTTAATTTTAAACTGAGAGTAGAACACTGTAAAAATCTAAGGAGGAAATAGTACAATGAGATAGCTTATTACAAGTACATTTAGTATTGTACTGTGCAATGTGCTAAACCATGAAATTAAATCATCCAAGCAAATAAATCAGAAGTTGGTTTATATTAAGGACCAGTAACTTCTGGCAAGAATTCGGTTTCATATCTGGCATAATTTGTTTGCATCAGAAACAACATTTAAGACAGTACTTTGTAGTAAAGAATAACTCAGTAATAACTCATTTAATCAGCAATGAATCATGAAATTAGTACTTTATTGCAAACATTAAGCTAGAATTCAGTAAAGAATGGATAAATCTGTAACTAAGCAAATACATTTAGAAAAACATTCAACCTCAAACTTCAGCAAACCAAAAGAATGGAAGCAGAAGTTTACACCAACATGCTTATACATCTTCAACTTTTCCTACTCATCTTCACAAGTCTAAATTAATAAAAAGTTAAAAGGCTTACATTTTTTTTATCATCGTTTTTGGTTAGCACCCATTTTATTTCCAAAAACCATATTAACAATCACCTTACAATTTTATTTGTGCAAAAAAATTTTAATTTTAAATTTTCATTTAAATGTAAGACATGTAGTACTAAATTATTGACAAAAAAGTTTACAGACATTAAACAATTAAGAACTACATAAGCACTGACTATTTACTATAACCTGACACTTGCCTCTGTAATTATCAGTGGTCCCTCAAGGATACATGGAGCAACAAAGAAGCATCTCAAAACATTTTTATTCATGCCTCAAGTGAAAAATATTCTCCTCAACATTTTGCAAGTAATTCTGTAAAACAAAATGCAATAACATACATCTGGAAGATTGAGTAATGTTGTTGTAATTGAACATATAGCTATTTTTTAGAGTACATGGATCAACAAGGAATGAAATAATATACAATAATGAATAATTAGTAGTTTCTTCAAGTAGAAATTACTAAATGTTTTAACCTATCAGCCTCAACTCTTTTTAACATCATAACAAAAAGAATGTACTGCACTAATTATTTATCAGTGCTGTTATAGCCTTTTTTTTACGATCTGTAACCAAAAGAGAAAAGCTGTCACAGTCCACACTTCAGAACATTTTGCAAGCGTAAACTTTATTTTAATGGTATTGTTTTTAAATGTTATTCATGCAAATACCTGTGAACATAAATATTTCGATATAATGTTTAACATTTTTAATATAGAATTGTTCATAACAATATGAACCTCAGAAAATTCTTTTTTAATTTTAGGGTTAGGCTGTGTGAAGATTTTGCTATGACAAAACATCATACACTCTTCTTTCATTAGTTTTATTTTTTATATATTTACATAAAGCATGTATTTCAAAGGTATATATATACATTTCAAGTTTAAGCTTGCTGAAATATATCCTTTAACCCAGTTCAGTATAGAAGCAAACCAATATTAAGTAAATTACACTAAGAGGATGTTGAAGAAGTTTAGTTATTCATTTGTTTTACTGCAACCATTAACTGAGATTATTGTTTTGTATATAAAGTCAATAAATGTATGAAATTATATATATGTATATATAAAGGTAAATGAAAATGAATCCCCGATAAAGGTACTTAGGATACTAATTCTGTTATGTGTCAGTTATCAGTGGATTTGAGAATTGCATGGATAACCATGGTGTGGCACTTTGCACATCTGTAATATTGGACACATTTAGTGATCATGTAAATATAGCTTAATTAATCATAGAGAAAGGTCTTGTGGTGTTCAGGTATATTTTCCTTTATTGGGGGATTCACTGTGCACAACTTGTGTATTTTTAGAAACATAACATTTATAGGTATGAATTGCAAGATTTTATTTCTTTTTTCTTAGATACTTAGATAACAGAGTGTTCGTAGCCTTGACTAATGGAGGCATAATCATATATCAGCAAGATTTCAGTAAGTATGGTACATTTATGACTTTTAATAGCATTATGATAACAACTTTGAGTTTAAGCTATATAAACTTGATAATAAAAATTGTGATTGTCTTAAAATAAAACAATCCAGTCTTGTATGTTTATGATTTATGGTAAATTTTACATATTGCATTTTCAAACTGAAGGTAGTATGGCTTAGATGTCACCTTTCAACTTTCTTTTATCTATTAAAAGGCAGTTATGACCATTTTGCAAAGTGTTTGTTGTTTGTAAAAACCATTATAAATTCAATTATACTTGTCATAAGACATTAGTATTAGGCTTATTACATTTTAAACACCTCTTTCTTCATCTAGTCTCTAAGGGATTTTCAAGAATTATTAGACTGTATAAGAATAGTATTCCAATCACACTATATTAGTCATATCCATTGCCAATGGCACATTTCACTCAATACAGAACTCTTCAGGCTGGCTGGGATACAAAAAACATAGTAGTAGTTGAACACCATATATACCATTTGATACAACAAATTTGTTATAGAGTGTATGCCAGCTTGTAAAAGTTTAAATATCTAATAGGGCTAATACTAATGTCTTGTGACAATCATTGCTAGAATTATTCTTCACCAGCTTGTAAAAGGCATACACACCATAACAATCTGTCAATTTGTTCTTATTTATAACTAGTCTAATTTAGTTTTGCCAATTTAGCAATATGAATTTTGCTGTAGGAGAGCATGTTTCCTGTGATACTTTTTTTATAATGTTTAAGTGGTATTAAAATTTAGATTTTACAAATTTTGAAGATTTTTATATGATATTTTTAAAATAAGCAGTGGTTGAAACTTTCATGCATCTGTGCAGGTTAAAGTGTTTCAGCAATAATCTACACTGACTTTTATAAATGCATAATCTATAAAAAACATTAAATATATGAGAACATTCTAACATCACAGAGTTACCTTATTAATCTGTTACTGCAATTAAACACTAATGTTTCTGTTATCACTTGTAAAATATTTTTATAAATCAAATTCTGATAAACACCTTCATTTCAACATACCGTTATTTATGAGAAATCAGGTAATGTTTTACAAGTCTTGTTCCCATTTCATGATCTCATCAGATTATGGAAAGTGAGAAATAAGAAAGTAATTACCACACATACTGACTAACAGCTTTATATCACAGTGATATTATGTTCCTTATACATAAAATATTAGAAACAATACTGCAACACTAAGAGTTGCCAATATGTACTTAATTGGCAGTTCATAGATATGATTATACCTACTTAATTTTTATTCTGTTATCATGGCTACAGATGGTGGGTGGAACACAACAGATCCTCACTGTGTGTTTGTGGGAAGTGTAACGGCACCAGTGACAAAAATGTTAGCTGTTGCGGGGAAAGTCTGGTGTGCTTGTCAAAACTACATAAAAGTGCTCAACACTACAGATTTAGAGACTGAGGTAAAAGGATGATTCAATCACCTTGATTTTCATTTCATATTTACTACACTAGTATCCAGTGTCATATGTGTCTTTTCAAGGTTTTCTAAATGTATAAAACAATTACAGTAAAAATTATAAATAATTTCCCATGATGAATATTTTTTACAAAAATTAACTTTTGTTCCTAAAATTTGCTAATATTATGTGATTCTTGAAATTGTTTTAAACAGTTTTATGAATGTAACATATTTAATGTTTGATTCCTCTTACTGTATGCTAACATTAATGAACACTTTAATTACTTGATTTAGTGATAGATTTAATTTTATTTATTTATGCAAATGTCTCTAATAAAATTGTTTATCATTGTTAGAAAAATATACTTCAACTATAAGACTGAGAAATATTTTTGCTCTATGATGGTTCTCTAAACACGTTTATTTATTTCCTAGAAAATTTATCACTCATTAGCTTGCATGTTCTCTCTATATATTTTCACATTTGAAGATATAGTGACAGCATGCTCATCTTCTGGTTAAGAACTGGTTTTCTTAGGTTAATGGTAAGAGATTCTAATATTTCAATATAAAGAACAGACAATGATATAGACAAAACTGGAAATAGACATAACATCACATACATTTACACAGTGGCTGGTAATATTACTGGTATTTTATGTTTTACTGTCACAGTGTACTTTTCTATACTGCACAGCCTTCTAGTGGCTAATCCAATATATCTCTGGTTGCACTTTGGGCTCATAAACTCATATACCACTAGTGAGGTATTTGATGGATATTCTCTATCTTTAATGTTGAACAGCCCTTTTAACATAGATTGTGATTTAAAGAAACATTTTAATTGAAATCAAGAATTCATGATGATGAGGAATCCACTTAAAGTATATGTATATAATATAGTAGAGATGGCTGATATGGTTACAAAACAAATAATGTTTTGACCTTTTTAGGTCATCATTAGGTTGAGAATATAGTTGTTTGATAATTTTCTTTTTAAGTATACATTAAATATTGCCTAAGTAGTGTATAACTAAAATAACAGTTTTCTTTGGAACATCAAACAGAGCATCACATGGAGTATTGAGGTTTACAGTATGGGTATGGGTTATAATATTCAGGAACAACAACAGACAAAACTTTCTTCTTTGTATTTATTGTTCTCAACTAAGAACTAGGATTAATATTAGCCATCCCTACATTTACTTCCTTTTTTGAAAAAGTTTTTCTTCGCTTTTTTTTTAATGCAGTATTTCAATAGATGTAGGAAGATTATATTTATAACCAAGTTCTGAATACAGTGAGGTTCCAACTGTCATGTTCATCGTTTATCTGTTATTGGCTGGTAATTCCTGTTTCACCCTATACTTAAGCTTCTTAAAGGAACACCAAACTTCTGTAAGAAAGCCAATTTCAAAGGGCAATGATAACATTGCTTACACTATAATTTTTTTTTATTATTACTACTAGTTAATAATACTTATAAAAGTGGATACTCTGTTTGAAACTATGTCACCATTGTTTGACACCACTGTTTTGGTTTTATCATGTTGTAAAAAAAAGAAGCAAAAAAAAAGAAGAACAAGAAATTTAAACTTTTTGCTATGATATTTACAAACATTACCAGAACTTGTGACTTAGTCATTACATAGACATCATTATAAAAAGAAACACTGTATAGTACTGTAAAGCTCTGAAGACATATTGAGGAGATACTTAAAATACCATTTTGATGAACCATTCAAGTCATCCCTACATAGGCAATGCTACCACCTGCCTGATTACCAGTTTTACTTGATGAAACTATAAAGATTTAAAATTAAAAAAGGAAGGTTAGATTTAAATATTAAAAAAATGTTTTGTATTACAATTACTTAAGAAGAAAAATGCTTTTGTTAAAACAGATAAATTTTGTGAGGATTTAGAAAATAAAAGAATATTTAGTATAAGGTTAACTTTTTTTTGTATAGATAAGATCATTTATGTATTTTTTTCACTCTCAAAGCACTCCTTTCAAGTGATGAGTGACACATCCAAAACAGTGCTCTGTATGGTAACATCAGGTCTGGGAGTGTGGATAGCTGTACAGCACAGTGCTGTCTTAAGACTGTTTCATGCCACAACTTATGGGAAACTTCTAGAGGTTAATGTTGCCCCTGCTGTAACCAAAATGTTATCTAGTATGTTCATGTTTATCTTTTGTATAAATGCTGGCATAATGCTGATCATTTTATTTGAAATTAATGGTTATAATTATTTTTATCTTTTGTGATGTAATTGTTTACTCTTTATATTTCATAATCTGAGATGTATCTGTAGAGGTTATTAAACTTGCAAAGTTTAGAAATATCTACATTGTTGAATAAATTCCTTTTGCTATTTAATTTTTTCTTCCATTAGTTTCTGATATATCTTTTAATTAGAATTAAAGAAGTCATGTTGAAAGAAATATTCAGATTCAATGTTTGAAAATTGTCAGAACTTTTATATAAATATATATATATATATATATATAGTTGTGGGGCTAGGATTCTTCTTCAATAGGTGTCTGTTGGCGATAAATTCAAACAGTAAATGGACAGCATGCACTTCACTTGTTTTAATATAATATATTAAAAACAAATTAAACTTATGTATAAAAATTGTTTCTTTCAACTATGGTGACCATAGTTGTTTCTTAAACACTATACAAGTTCTCTTCTTCTTGTCAAAAGTCCACTTAGGCTAATTCAATTGCCTTAGAATCCAGTTGACAAGCCTAAATATTTTTTGCTACTTTTATCACAATAATATCAGTTAATGACTCACTTACGCTGCCTTGTGGGTTACCACAGTTGTATCCTGAACTTCCAGTAATTGTTTTCTTTTCATCAAAGTCCACACAACAGCGTTCAATTAGTTTAGAACACTCTTTGACAAATTATTCTCCTTATCACTATCAAACTGTTAAACTCACTTTAACATATCCCCCATTAAGGCTATTCACTCACGCCGTGGCTAACTTCACATTTTCTAACTTTACTTTTACTCCACTCCTGCAGTTTCCACTATTTATATGTTTATCACTGAGGCCTCTAGAACTATTTATAGTCTTGACACCAATGAATTGCAAACACAACATACGTCTCTTACCGAGCTATTTAACCAAACTTGTCATATCTATCGCTTTAAAATAATTGCTTTTAACTCTCTTATTATTAAAAACTAAACAATCATGAAATATTAACTCACAAAATAAATAAATTAATAATACCTATACTAAACAGTCTTGTATAGCCAACAAAAATTGTTTGGGATACCTGGAGCAAAATTTTTGATGTATTTGTTTTTCATAAAAGATAAAACAAACAGCTCCTAAGAAGACAGGTGCACTTAGGCTAAGGAAAATTTGTTGGGATTCTTGGCTCCTAAGTATTTTCAGGAGAACATGTTTAAAAATATATTTATAGTTTGTGTATGACTTATTGTGAGTTGAGACTTATTTTGCATGGAATATGTCTATACTTTGCAAATTTGACTAGAGTAGTAACATTCTATACCTCCTGTAATCAAGTATAATGGATGTGTGTTGTTGTTTTTTTATTACGTGTGATGTAGGTGTGGAAAACATCAAAGTCTGATAAATTGTGGATTTGTTAAACTCAAATTCAATTCTAAACTTATAACATCAAATAATGCACATGTTTGGCAGTTTTAATTTTACACAAAAGTGATGTATAGTACAATTCACTTTCCATTGTGAATTGAAGTTTGAATTTTATGTAACATGTTACAGTAAGGGGCATATGGCCTGTGTTGTCATGTTTTCTATTTATGTTTATTCATGTTGTTGTTGAAAAAAATCACTAATCAGTTCAAATAGATTTTTTTCAAATGTCTGATGGAGTGATATTTGTTTCAAAGTGTATTTTTCTAACATTTATTAGGTTGTGATGACATAATTCGTCAACACAAAGCAGCATGCCTAAGAGTAACAGCTTTGTTAGCTTGCAAGGACCATTTATGGGTTGGAACCAGTGCGGGTGTTATACTGACTATGCCGTTACCTCATCTGACCTTCTCTACCTTTCATTTGAACAGTGTGCCAAATGTTGTTGGTAAGTAGAATTTAGTTATATGAGGATGTATATGTAGGGAGAGAGAATATATGCAGTTAAATTATGTGCATGCATGTAATATTTTAATTGATTCAAGTCCAACATACATGAAGGATTTGTCTAGAGGTTTTGTTACAGTTCTTACAAATGATTATAATATAACCTTATAAAGAAGGTTTTAAGAGCAACATAACACTTGTGTGTAGTGGAAGGAAACAGTAATGCTGATGATTACTGAGAGTTTCTTTTGTAAAATTGGACATGAATAACTCTTCTCATTAAGAAGTCCAAATATTTAATCAAAAAAAAATTATATCAGTCTTCGAAAAGCCTGACTTTCTTGAGGGAATTCTAATGTTTAGTTAATATTTCTGCTATTTTTATCACTAAATGACCTCAGCTACAATTTTAAAAATTTTCACTTTCTTAAAAGGAAAGAAAGACTAATTCTTATTACAATTTGCATATTAACTGGCTCCAGGAAAGAAAATCAACAGTAAGATTCTTCTTTTAAAAATTTAGGTATGAGGATTTTGATACACTGGATATATCTCCCTTGTTTTATGTTTTTCAGTGGAACACAAGCTGTAAAAATATATTCAAAAGTTCGTCTAAATAAGTATAAATAGAGATATTTATTACCCATGTAGAAGCATGGCTTACATATGGCTTCAAAAACATTTGAACATTCATATTTAACTTTGAAGGATTCAAATGTGATAGTGGTATAAACTACAATTTGTTGAAAGCAGCAATTGAGAGCAATGAAATTATTAAGGTATATTTCCAGAGTTCTACCTGATATTTCTTCTTTGTGTGTGTGTGTATATATATATATTGTGATGTCTAAAAGGTAACCACACCAGACAGAAATTAAAATAATTTCAATTTCAGGCATACTTTTCAGAAATAAATAGATATATTTTTTTACTTGGCCTATTTCACTTGCAGAGAGGAGTGTAATTTAATAAAATGGATGGATGTTTTGTCGATATAATTGTCTTGTTATCATATGAGATTAAAAGGTATATCCTAGTGTCTTATTATCATTCAAGATTAAAAGGTATATCCTACTGTCTTGCTATCATCCAAGATTAAAAGGTATATTCTATCAGTCTGATAAATTAATGAAAGAAATAATATTAAAAATCAGATGGTTGTACACATTACTCACAATTATACAATTTAGTATGAAGGCTACAAAATAAACAATTCTCGTAGGTTGCCCAAGGTATTACATTCTTGATCAGTTATATCATTATTACATTAAAAGTTGGTTTCTATATTGTGCTTAGCAATAACTTTCATTAGAAACTAACAATTCAACATATTCAGAAAATTGTTACTTATCACTGAATTTTAATTCATCTTCATTTTTTGAAATAACTTAAGATGCTTCTTCAGTCTAAAATTGATCTGGAATGAATATTTTTGTTTTGTTTATTTTACAATTTCCAAGAAATATGTGACAAATCAACAAGTCAAATGACAACCACAATTGATACAAAGTTGCTTGGAACTTCATAGGTAAATTGATATCACTAAAAAATTGATTACTATTGGCCAGAGTTTGTAACAGCCCCTTTTGATGTAAAATATTCATAAAAACAGATCATAAAGATGCCTTTAGGTTTTTTTTTACTCCTGAGGACTATTGATGATTCTCGGGCAGATTCTGCTAGTGGTGCCCATGTTTTCTCCAAATTGCCAGCCCTGATTCAGTAGTGAAAAACTAGAGGGAAGGTGTCTAGATTGGGGTTTTAGAATTACAAAGATGGGATATCCCTTGAACTTAATGGCATTGAAAAAACAAAGGAACATGGCTCAATTTGGGCCACCAGGACCATCCAGAAAGAGACTTGCAACAAGTCATACCCCAGCTGTGTTAAATCAACTTTTGTTTCTTGTAACAATGTTCAGTGACAAAAACCATCCATGTACCCAACATAAAGAAGTAGGATCTTTATCTGTAAATAAGTCCAAAAGGGTAAGTTTGATAATTAATAAGACTTTTGGTCATACCTCTGATGCAACCATAATATACCTCAATCAGCTAGAGAATGAAATGGATATTCATGCTATTTCATATAAAGATACTGGTTAAGTCAACAGATGTAACACCTATTGATTTCTATGTGATTGAACTTTTGAAACAGGCACTGGAAAACCATTTTCTTCATACACTGGATGTGTTATAGAATGCACACAGGAATGTATGGTGAGCTTGAGACATGAAAGCTTTATGATGTAATATTTTACAACATAATATACACTATATGGCTATTGTCAAAATCCTGGTTGTCAGATAGAGCATGAATAGATCTGGCAACATGGACTATAATAAGTGGTGATACTCCAAAATAGATTTAATATAATATACTCAACCTCTGTATATAAGAAATCTGGGATTGGGATTGCTATCAGTAGGTGATGTATTACTTAAATTTGTAGCTTTGTAGAAATGAAACATTGAAATTTTATAATTGGTAATGTAGTTATAGACCAAAGGATTTTATTAATGCTGCTGGCATTTATATCTACCTAGAAATGTATTAGTTTTATCTGAAACATTAAGTAAGTAAGGATTTTGTGTAAGACTAACATAAACAATGGTAATATGTATATCATGGACTTGAAAATAGGGAAATTCCATAATGAGCTTCTTTAGATTATGTGATTTTATGTATTGTATAATCTTCCAAAAATGCTTTCCAGATGTGTTAACTAGATACACTGTAGCTTGCTGTTTTTTTATGTGAGGAAATGTTTTATATCTGATATTTACATATATACATGTAATATTGGTTCCATAAAAATATTTATTGTTTTAGTAAACCATTCAAGAAATATTTATATTCCTTACATTATGAGTTGATGTTGCCAGTACTGTGTTGTACCTACCAGATTAAAATTTGATCTAAAATATATAAAAATTATTGACTTATATTTCAAACGTTCTACACTAAAAAGGTTAAACATGAAAATCAGAATGCTTCTTCTGACATTAGCTATCTTTAGTGAGGTTTAAATTAACCTTTTTTCATTTAATAAAATATAAATTTACTGTTTCTGCATAACACCCCAGAAATATACTGAGATTTTAGTGCATTGGGGTTTTATTTTTTGACTAAAATGTGGTATAAAATTTTTTAAAGTATTGTGATGTACACAACAAACTATTCAGGATGATAGAGTTAAACTAAATTTTCTAAAATGAAAGATCATAGAAGCCAGAATATTCCATTTGCAATTTGATATCTCAAGTAAAATGTTATTAAATCATTTTTGACATTTATGTCAATTTTTATTTGAAAACATTCTGTCTAGCTAAACCTGGAATAGTGAGATCATTTCAAATTAAAGTTTTTTTTGTTTTAAGAAATTTTTTTCACAAGCTTGAAAACAACTGAGCTCTTACTAAAATGGAGGCCAATCTGTTCTTGAAGAAAAAAATATATTTTTTATCATAGGACAATTCATGTAGCTCTTGTTTTGACTCTTCATGTAACTAAGGCTGTTATATACTAGGCTTAGAAAAATGTCTACCAATGAAACTTTTTCTTTACAGTTTTCTCTCCAGTCAGTTCCATATTCTCAAAACAGCAGCTTTATTAGAATTATAATGAATACTGATGTTTCTATAATTTATGCAGACAATTTATAAATGATTGCATGGTGCATGTGTGTTTTTATGTTTTGTAAAATGTTTTTCCCATTTTTTATAATTTCATCTAAATTTGGTATATTTATTGCTTGATGCTAGTAATTTGCAAAATACGTATTTACTTGGTTGAAGACAACTGAGAAAAAGTGCATAAGTACTGTAAATATTCTTTACAGATGTAACTTTGAGTGTAATAATTGTGAGATTTTATGTTATTCTCAGATGTGTTATTTGTTTTAATCGGAATTCAACAGGAGTTCCTCACGGCCATACAGGACATGTACGCTTCCTCACATGTGTTGAAATGATCCCAAGTACAGTCATTGATACAGCTAGTTGTTCTAAGTATGGACATCGATCAGGTTATGGGAAAGAGGGAACAGCAGCTAGAAGAATGACTTCTAGCCCTACATCAACATATCGTTTCTTAGTGATTAGTGGAGGAGATGGCTATGAGGACTTTAGTCATTCAGGACAATCTGATGTTGCAGGTCGAGAGGATAGCACAAACCACCTATTACTCTGGCAAGTGTAATTGAAATATCTCTGCAACTACCCAGTTTGATGTAGGTATTATTTCTGTGTGAATACATAAAGTCATCACTTGGAGAACTTGTGGCATTTTGTTTTGTAATATTTGAGAAAATCTTAGTTTTCAAGTCTTTAACTATATACTTGTGACAAGTTAAGGTTAGGAAACTTGGACCCCACCATCCAAATAAAATCAATCTTCCATTTATAATTAATCTGATGATATTTCATCATATGATATAGGTGTATGCTATATATTTTAGCATTTCGATTTTAATATATCAGCAGTACTACAGAGTAGAGTGTATCATTGTATTTAACACTAAGACTTGGTTTGGTTGTGAGCTAATATCTGTTTTGTTCTGTTTGTTTGTGGAATACCATAACTGTTAGATCGGTTTAATCTGTGAGATGAGAGTGTTTTAACTAGTCAGTCAACTAAGCTGATATGAAAAGCTGTGATTCTGAGATGGAGAAGGGAAATTTTTCAGACTAATGACATTTTCAGAAATCAATTTTAAAATTGGATTTTATGTAAAAGCTTTATTTTCTTTTGTCAGTGATACTGATAAATGACATATAACTAAAATGTCAATTGTTTAAATATAGATAAAATGAGAAGGTATTAAGGTAATGAATGATATATCTGGCTATTCGCTTAGTTGTTATATGTATTCCAAAAACTTGTTGGATGTTAAAATGTTAAATATAGCTGATTATATTTTGGCAAATAGATTGTAGTTTTTATGATGTTGAAAAAACACCAGAGTATTTTGTGATTGAGCATCAAAAATTGTGGTACAACAAGCTATTTTATAACACTTTTACCCACTTTCTTGGTATTGATGAAGTAGGCAAGGTGGTATAAAGAATACAAGGCACCAAACTAAATTCAAGTACACATAGATACAAATCATCTCATTCACTTTCTTTATTTCATTTTTCAAGCTAAGAAACAACAGTTCAATAATAGTTCACTGTTTTAATAGAAGTTGCAGATATAATTAATATCCATATATTGTGAATCTTAGTTAATTGTATAATAACTTTTATTGCATGCTTCTTTTGATAAGGTAATTTTATGACAGATGTCCAAGTAAAGATGTAAATTAGCTTTTGCCCACTTTAAATGTGATAGTTTTATTTTCTTTTGTTCTGGGTGGAATAGGCATGGTCCAGTGGTTGTTAATCACATTTCATGTCCTGTTGCCATAAAATTATGCTCTGCATTTTGGGGCCACAGATGTTTTGTAAGAGTGATGGTCAAATCCGTATTTTAATTGGAGTGGCTCAAGAGCTGGTGATAGGTGCTGTTGACTAATTGCCTTCTCTCTAGTCTATCAGTTCAAAATAAGGAACAGCTAGCATAAATTATGACATATTCCTAATCTGTGGTCACATACCTACAAGGGCATGTAAAACGATTTCTAGTGGTATACAAGAACTTTTGAAAAACATTAAAAAAGAAAATAAGTCCCATGCCTCAAAATTGGATGGCAGTATTGGTTTGTTAGTAATTTATTCCATTAGCCAGCTTTATTGTTGACTAACTCGTGAATTATTTCTTTTGACTTACCATTTTATTACTATAAACCAGACTTCAATTTCTTGTAATAAATTATATGCATCAGTTGTAAGCCTCTGGTTTGAAGGTCTGATTGGAGTACACAACATTATAATATGCTGGCTTTTTTTCCCTTAAACAGATGTCATGCAACTTTTTATTCTATTATAACTTTCTTGACAAGGAAATAAAATGTTAAAAACATTTGTTATCTATAGATCAACAGTTTAGACACCTAACTATCTCCTGAATTAGTTTTGAATAATATGAACATGTGTAAAGAGAGGAATATGAAAAACTTTGTTAAATAAAGCTCTATGTTCAAGAAAGATAGTATAACTAACTAACATTTATTGAACAATACCAACAGTAAGAGGAGTCATTATTCATTCATACTGAATAAAACTTGAAGCACCCATGTCATCATAACAGATTTGTTTAGCTTAATTTTTCTTTTATTGCTATGTGATTTTGAAAGTATTTTGAATTCAATAATGTCAGATCACTTATTCTATACTTTATAAACACAAAAAAATATAAAGAAAAGTTGCACCTCTGTTATGTAAAAGGCAAAACACAACATTCTGGGAAATGAAACATGAGTAAAAAAAAATGCATTTCTAATGTTTTAACTAAGTAGGCAGTTCAAAACTGAAGATTTCCTTAAACATTCATTTGACTTTTATATTAGGCTATCAGTAATATGCTTCTCAATATACACTATTAGCAACTTTCCTCTGGTCATTTTCAGAACAGCTAGTTACAATTCACAAATATCATTTGACATAATCATTTTTTAAGTTAAAGGGCTTTAAGTGTAAAGTAACATGATAATAATAATAAAAGATAACCAAGTTCCAAGTTTTCAAAAAAGTGAACAAAAAAATATTGTAATTAGGCAGATATATGAAAAACATAAATACCCAATCCTCAATGCAGTTTGATTTGTTTTAGCAAATTAAGGTATTGAATTTTTATTTCTTATTTGGGTAAATACATGAATAACTGATTTTAAAATAAACTAATAGGATGACTGACAGGCACATTTTTAACAGTTGTTTTTATGTGCTGTGAATATATTTTACATATTTCATAATATACAGAAAAGAAAGAAAGAAAATAATGACATGTCTTCAATTTATGATTTTTAAATATTTCACTATGGAAATTGTACTCTGAGTCTCATGAAATGTAGGTAGAATCAAGAAATGTTCAGTAATAACATTGTGTTATAATTTTTTTTTGGAAATGTTTAACTTGATTATTTCAAAAACATATGATCTGATTTTTAGTAACACACAGTCCATACTATATGTATATAGATAAAAAAAAGTATTTCAAATTGAATTTTGAATGGATTTTTCAGAAAGCTTTACATTTAGTGAGAACAAAGTAAGCTTTTGAACTGCTGCCCTCAGAACATCACAAACGAAGTAAATTTAACTGGATTAATATGTGTTATTTCCACAGTTATTTTTTTTATGGTTAGTTTCTATACACAAAAATATTTTTGTCAATGTGTAGTTGTGCCTGATTTCTACAGTTTATTTTTAAGTACATATTTGCAAGTATTGTTTTTAAGAGCATATAGTCAATGTAAAGACAGAAAGATGAATATTTGTAGTACATCTTAGGTGAAGACGATTTTCTTTTTTTCAGTTTTGAAGCATGCATTCCTACAAAGATGATCGTATGCACTTCATATATTTTTCTAATGTTTCAAGTCATTTTCTAGGTATTAAAGTAGGTACAAGCTGTGGTCTCTACTATGTTTTATCAATAACTTGAAATCATAGACCAATACATTGCAGCTATTTTAGTTTTGTTTTTTGAAAATCCTTCTCTTGAAACCGTGGAATTTAGTGTTGTTCATTAAGTTTTCATTTATTCAGTATGATGCTTAGAATATGTGTTGTAGAATTTGAATTTGAAAGAAAGTTTGTGTTACAAAAATATGTACATAAGAATTCATATAAAAGATTTTGCATTTAATTGAATGTTGAAAGATATGATGAAAATACTTCTGGTAACTAGTGTAAAAATTGTACAATGTAGAATAGTTATTTATGTATGTAATTTGTAATTATATAAAAGAAGGCTATACAGTATTTGTGAATAATGAATATTTTTCTCTGATTAAGTCTGTTAATTGTGGTATTCATATTAACTTCTGATCAAGCAAGCTATCTACATGTTTTGCTTATCATGCTTGATGTTTCTGCGATTTAAAATTCCATTTTTTAAAAGGGTGCCTTTAAGCAAAAGTGAGGTACATAAATTTCTAAATGTATCTTGTTTCATTTTTGTCTCAATCTTTTACATTCGTCCTCAATGTAATTTACCACCTAAACTCTCATTGATGTTGTCAAGTATTCTCGCTCTTGTTTTTTTTAATACCATTACACCTATTACTTTCATTCTGTATTTTTCACCCGTTCATTTAGTATAAAACAGTTTCTTTGCAACTAGAAAAATTGTTGTGTTTAAGTGTTTGTTCTGTTTCAAGATTATTTCTAAAAATTATTTTACTTCCATGATGAATGTAGCAGCTTTAGCCTTTGGTGTCAACAAACAAGAAAGTATTTTGAATAAAGATTAATAAATAGTGATTTTGAAAAAAAAATGTTTGTTATCTTTTTTTCTCTCAGTACTATGTACTATGCAAAATTTGGTTATAATAATTACAGAGAGATTTTATAAATGTCATCCAAAGAGATAAGTCTGACATTCCAGGGTAATGCACAGAGAACGTGCTCTATTAGTCATTGAAATGTAGTAGGTGCATTTACATTATCCAAATTTTTTAATTCCCAAAACTTTTACTATAGTAATGACTTCCTTCACTTGCTTCATTGATTTGCACTTGTCAATATTCACTCTTCAAATCCAATGTTGAAAACGTTTTTTAATTCAGATAAAGCACCCAAATTAGAATCAATTGTTGGTAGTGGGTGGGCATCACTCTTGTTGATTTCATTCACCCTCCAGTAGTCCATGGAGAACATTGTGGCTCTATCCTTCTTTACAAGTACAGTAGGTGATGCCCAAAGAGGACTAGTACTCAGTTTTGTTACTACTGATTCCTTTATGACCTCTCTCTCCTTGAGAGTTTTAGCCCGTTTTCCAACTGAGAGTTGTCTGGTTAACTGAAATATTGGGCTGCACCTCCAGTATCAATCATGAAATATGATGATATCCTTATTTTTCAGATCCATGAGAGCTCTTCCAACAAATCCCCCAAGACACACTAAAGTATTTGGTTCTAACTATATCCTAATCAATATATGTTATTCGTAATAACTTCTGGTACATATTGTTACTGGAAGTTCAGCCTCTGGGGCTGTAATTGTCATGCAGTGTACAGGGATTTCCTAGTCATAGATTAAGAAACTGTATGAAACAAGTCTTAATCTCACATTAAGTCTATTCACACAATAGAAGTTTCCCACATGCAACTTTCTTCTTGCTGAAGCTTTATGTCCACTTGCTGTTTCATTCAATCCATTTACTTTCTTCACACGTGGAGGCTATTTCCCATAATTTATTATCAGGTTAGCTCAAACAGGTTTAGCTATAGAACTAGTGTCGATCAGCATGTTGCAAGGCTTCCCATTAATGAGTCCATTAACTGATTGGCTGGTTTCTTTAAGTAATGAGCTTTTTACTTCATTTGGAGAAAATGGAGTATTCTCAGGTGAACTTCACCTATTAAGTCCAGCAGATTATTGTGTCTCAATGTATGGGTTGCTCTTTGTTGTTTTTTCTAGCTGCTTGGGGTTTAGGATTCATCCTTAAGGTATTGTCTCCTTGTTTTATTATTATTATCAGTTGATTCCTCACAGCCTCGACCATAATGACCTTATTTTTCACATTTGTAACAGTTGCTTTTTTTTTGACATCTTCTGTTGGGAGTTTTTGTTTCCTACTGGCTTTTGTCTGCGGTTCCTAGAAATAAGTCCTTTTGAGTTAAACTTGGAATACCTATTGTCTTGTGGTTTACTTCCTCCATCATGTGTACTAGTTGTATAGTTAATCCTTTTAGTTCTTCTAGACTACCATCAGAGGGAGTTGATGTTACCATATCACTTGATCTGATGATTCTATAATTTCTCAATTTACAATCAATTTGTAAATTTGATGGATTCAAGTTTTATCACCAACTGGAGAGGATTCTTTTAAAGATGTGCACTTACTTTGCTTTAGTCTAATTTACAAATCCTTTATGCTATGTCTGTGAATAAGTCATAACCCAATAATTCCATAAATTCACATGGAGCAAGCCTTTCCACTTCTGTAAGTTTTGCTGAGATTTTTACTTTCCTTTATGCTCTGTTCCTGAACTATACATCCTTCTGGTGTATAACTCCAATCTATTTGATAAGGCAGCTTAATAATTGATCTGGCTTTCAGCTGGAATATTGCTTAATGTTCTTAAAACTGGTCATTTTAAATAGGCAGAAAGATGAATAACTTGATATTTACTATTCCATTCATACATTTTGGAAATTATTTTGAGCTGGGCCTGACATTGTACCTTTCTGTCACAGTCTATTTCTCAATTCAATAATGTTGATTTGGGGTACTTAATTCTGTAACTTGATGAGGTAATGATGTAGCTGTAGTAGTCCAGAAATGTCTTTCTATCGTAGATATCACAACAGTAGCAATAACAGGTTTAGTCCAAATGTGTTCTGTTCCATATTTCGTATTTATAGGTGCTTGGGAATGAAATTCTTGGGCAGATGCAGAGTACAGTATAGCTAGAAATATCTAAGATTTTAATGTTATTCATAAATGTTATCAACTTACTAATTATGCCCCTATCTATGCCATTAATATAAATAAGCAAAAGCACTGACCCCTGAGATACTTCACTAGTAACAAGTGACCAGATTGATTGGACTCCATTACTTTTTATTTCTTCCTACTGCAATCTTATTTAATATTCATTTCTCAACACAGAGAAAAATTTTCATGTAATTCCTCAGGTGAACAACTTTCCTCAACTAAATTGTGTATGACTGCATGAATACTAAATTTCCATAAAGATTTATTGACTCCGCATAAGGTTCTTTGTGTAAGTTGAAGTATTGTATAAACTCAGGAACTCAATTACTCCTTTTGTATACTCCTTAAAGGTATAAGAAAGCCCTAGAAAAAATTTAAGTATAATATCTATAATAACGAAGGAGCTAAGAAAAAGGAAGATTGGAAGAAAACACATCACTACAACCTGGAAAACTTGATAAAAAATATATACAGGAACCAAGAATAAACAGGAATATAATTGCAGACATGCTGGTATGTTACCCTATGTCAAATATCTTTGAAATCATGCAGAGGATGAGTGAACAACATAAAATGAAATAGTATTCAGAAACCACAATACAATACTATTGTAATCAGTACAGTCCAAACCACCCTTTGGAGTAGAAAAAACACAATTTAAAGCATGTTCTGTGTATGCAGATTCCAATAAATTGGGTAAAGAAAAAACCAACAAAAAACTAGAATTCAGGAGCATAATAAACATATAAGACTCGTCAATACCAGGTGTCTGCATCAGCTCATGATGCTAGAGAAGACCACACAATAAATTGGACTAATACTAAAATAATATGATGTGTACCACACATAAGTAAAAAAAAGAAAGGTAAGCTTTCTACATCTACCTAACTGATAACACAGTATAGCATAGAAGTCAAATAATTAGTTGACTGAAGTTCTAATTGGGGAATATATAATAGTTGAGTAGATAATTCACCAGACTTCTGTCAAGCTCGAATTCCTCTAACTAACAATCGAGAAATAGTCCCTCTCAGGACTTTTCTGAAGTTGGTAGCAGATTGGCAACTGAAACATAGAATGAAAACTAGTTATTAAAAAATTTTCTACTT